TCCCTGTCTATGGATGCTTCTGCCTTTGATAAAACAGCACCGGAAAGGGTTTAATCCCGCACAACGTATTTAGTCGATTAATGGTCAAATTAATGTTTGCGTGTGGTTGTCGAGTTTGGTACTACAGAAATTCACATACTATGAAGAATATACACTGATAAAATATTCTTGCAGTCAAAGGTTTCCTGGACAGCTGGGCTTGATAGTTGAGATCCATTTGCAGAGACATCACAAACATCCGGGCAATGTACTCAAATACAACTAAACAAAGCTTCAACAAGGAAACCTAGAAACATCTAACTAAATGCAAGCAAACCATACTGTGACCAATCTTGAGAAGAAATCACGTTAGCTAAGGAAAATCGATCCAAAAGAAATCTGAGATAAAGTTCAACTTACGCGGAGTTGGAAAGGTATTGTCATGCATCCGAGATCAATATGTCAAATGCAGTGTTGATCTCGACGGCTCAGCAAGATACTGTGCAGCCAATAGTACTGCTGTTGTGGAGTCCGCCGGGAGAACACGGAATTGTAGACGCTTTTTTTCTTATAATATGTGAAACTAGTACTGAGAAGATGAAACTAAAGAAGGAACATCTGTAACAACAGAATTCGAAGCTGTCTAGGGTAGTAACAGTAACTTCACCGCCGTAAAACCTTATAAGTACCATCGCACCCTGTCCAATTATATATATAAGCTTCAACAAGATTTAATGCAGCTGATGAGTAGTGAAGGTGAATAGACATGTATTGAGAAATAGACAAGTCTTCAAATATGGAAAGAACAAATGCTGCTTTCAAAATTGACTATTCGTGGTGAATGCTAATAGTAACAGACAGCAAAAGCCCACAAGAGATCTCTCTCTAGTTGTCTGATGTTGAGGGTAGTAGAACTTCTTTTTTCTCCTTCTTCTTTATTTTTTAAAAAAATTTGTATTTCCAAGTATAGTGAGATGTTGGATCGTTTTCAGAGTAGTTACTATGTACTGGTAGTATTGGTTACCTGGAAACAAGTGCGAAATCAGAGGTGTGGCTACTGGCAGGCAACTGGCTAGGTTTCTTTTCTTTCTTTGTTTGCGTGATGGAGTGGAGTTGAACAGTAGGAAGTCGCAGTATCATCAGCCCATATCAGTATGGTGATAATGGTACTTCGACTCGGACAAACTCCCTGTTTTTGCTGTGATTCATTAACACAACTAAGTCTATAATACTGCTACTGGTAAGTGGTAACCAGTATCAACATAAGGAAATGTATTACCAGTACTCCTTGCCAGTATCAACATAAAAGAAATGTATCAACCACTTACCAGTATCAACATAAAGAAATGTATTACCAGTGCTCCTTTTGTCCCAGTTATTTTGTCAAATTTCACGAATCCACTTTTTTAAAAAACAATGGTTTGATTGTAATGTTTGTACTTCATTTTATAATCTTATCCCGACAAATTCAAAATTTGAATTTGAATGGTAGTATACATATTATTAAAGGAGAGACAATATTGGAAGAAGAGACTAAAAGGTGCTTTAATTTTCTCAATATGACAAATATTTTGGGACATTTCAAATTAGAAAGTGCGATATTTTAAATTGGATGGAAGGAGCACTATATTTTATATATAATACTACAACTTTTCCTATTTTTTATATGGGACGAAAGGAGTACTATATTTTATATATAATAATACTACTTTTTCTATTCTTTTTTTTTTTTGTCGATACGATAGTTTCCTATACTATGGGGAGGGGGAGGGCCTGAAAAGGTCCTGGGGTAATTCGGAGGGGACTGAACCACCACCGGATTAGACAGATGCACTACGTACCGGCCTGAATTTTTTAAGCAAAGCACATTTAATTGTGGCAAATTGTGGGAGGCAAGGGTTTACCCACCAAGTCTTAATGCATTGGTGGTGGCTCGTGGTTGCTACTTTTCCTATTCTGCTAAAGAAAAAATTCAGGCCTTATTTGGATTGTAGTTTTTCACAGAAAAATTTTTACATTTTTCATGAACACGTTTTTTAATTATTTTTTATCTTACATATATAAAATTGCTACAGTACATTTTTTTTTAAATAAAAATTCCTAAAAATGGCAATCTAAAGGGAACATCAGTATTCGTGCAGCATTACACACATTTTCTTAAGCAACAGCAACAAGAATAATTGGGGAAGGTGGGGACACAAGATCCAGTGTTTCCTTCCATACATCTATAATTATCTATTATGCACGAACTAGCAATATTGTACTTCTGGCTTCACATACCAAAACAAGAAGGAAAAAAAATGAAAATATGGTTTGAGCTTTTACTGAGTTGTATATTTAAGAGTTTTGTTTTTCTCTAGGTATTAATAAAACTTTAAACTTGTCCCATACCAATTGTATAGGTCATTTAATCAATTGACCAATTTGTTTCGCAAATGTAATATTGTGGTTGAAAGTGCCAACTGACCTTTAAGCACCAAGCAATAGTGAGTATGTTTGAATATAATTTTTTTTAAATATTCTTTTATTTACATCATAAATATTGTATTTCAATCACTTTTTATATTTCTAACTATTTTTTCGTCATATCGTATATATTACATTATAAAGAGTGTTACAATATTTATTCTAAATAATTTTTCAAATAATACTCTATTCAAACACACCCAGTATGATTACGTTTCGTTTATTTAAACATTGAAGATAGAAAACCCCAAGAACAAAATAAAGAAAAGTAAGAGAATTAAGGAGATGACTCATGTATAAAAAACTGATAGTTTTGTAACATTCGTATGTACCAACGACACTTCAAGCAATGGAGACGTAAATACAATAACAAAAAAACTTAACAAATGCCAACCTCATAACATATATTCATGTGTTTGGATAGTTGATTATTTGAGATAACTTTTTTAAAAAATATTGTATTATTTTTTAATGTGATATATGTAAAATAAAATGGTTGTTAAAAAATGTATTGATGATACAAATAAATAAAATTTTGCAAATAAATCACTATCCAAACTAGCCAAATAATATGAATATTGTTTAGATAGTTGAAAAATGTGCTGATTATTATTTTTTCAGACAACGATAATATTTGTATAACCTAATCTATCATATTCTATATGGAGGAGGAGTTTCAAGAGACTGTGTAAGAGTCTAACAGATATACAAACCTGATTAGATTAAACAGGTGTTCTAATATCTCTTTTGAATTTTTTTCAAAAGCAAGTGGTGCCAATGTACAGTTGCACTGGTCAGTAGACAACGATGAATATTGGTCAGTACTGAGAACTTGAAGATCGAAGGATACACATTCCGATGGAACAAGAAGATGTCATTCCCGGACCAACTTTGCTCACGTTTGAAGCGCATATTTCTCGTTTCCAGACGAAATTGAATTTTTCTAAGCAGCACCAGTAACTTATATGTTTCCTTAAAAAAATCTAAAAATTAAGTAATTACCTGCATAGGAATACAATTTTTGGTCCCGTGCAAGCTGCAATGTCAGAATGTACTTGTGAAGTAGAACAGAGATCAAATCAAATCTCTTATTTTATGCAATGGTGTCGGTACGGAAGGATTTAAATTAAATAGCAAGGCACATAGCTCTTCTGAGTTCTGACGGAGTACGTTTCCTTTACTAGCTTATTGACCTGGGCTAATAGAAGATACTGCATTTTTTTTTTACGAAAAAAAAAAAAGAAGATGCTTCATCACTTAGTATCATTAAGTTGATCTTATTGAACTAGCTTTTTTTTTTTCCTTTTTTTTTAAACCCCCCACCTTTTCCCGCGCCTTTTTCACCTTCAACTATAAGACGTAAAAGCCCCCGCGTGAATGGTCCAACGGTAGCACCTCCCAACGGTGACCAATAGGTCCCAAGTTCGAGTCTCTGCTCCGCTGGATTCCTCCGCGCACATATCGTGCTTGGGCCGGGTTGGAGCGCCTGGCCGGACCGCAGGGGATTAGTCGGGCCCCGTAAGGATTGATCGGGACACCCCTGTGTAAACAAAAAAAAAAAAAAAAAAAAACTACAAGACGTAAAATTCGAAATTTGAACTTGATGGTAGAAAAAAACTCTAAAAATCCTTGTCTGACCATTGGATTTATCAAACTGGCCTTAAAAAGTATGCGTTAAAACTTAAAATTGTAGCTACATTATTGCCCGTGATAGAGCCACATTCAAGTGTAGGTAGGCAATTGCACCCTCCCCAACTTTGAAGAAATTTCAAAATTGACTTGAAAACAAATTTTAAATTTTCAACCTTGTCCTAAAATTTCACCCTTTAAATTTCTGAAAATTCCCATGTTCATTTACTTTATCCCCTGAGTTGTTAAAGTCTACAATCATCACTTAGTTTATATATGATCCCATATTTCAAATGAAGCCAAGTACTACTTGAAAATATAGGGAAAAAAAGGAATTTTAAAACTTTCGTCATCTGGTTGTTATTGTTGTAATATAATTTTAACAAAATTCACACAAACTGTCATATTGGTTATTAAATTTTTTTCATTCTTGCCTTAATCAAAGTAATTCCCCCGCCCCCCGCCCGCTCCTCTCCCCAACTTGGGTCTTAACTTTGGATTTAAACAACCCATATGAAAATGAGACCGAAGAGGAATGCAGCAAGAGGACAAAGTTGATTTAATATTTGCCAGAATATTTTCCAATGTTATTCTTTGCGGGTCCAATATTTAAGGGATAATCTATTCTGGATTGGCCCAAATATTGGTGTCAGGAAAACGAAGGACAACACATCTACAAGAAAGGACCAGGTTAGTTCATAGGTGGAATGCGTAATCTGTTCGGGTTGAACAGGTATTATACACGTCTATGAAAACTGAAAAACGAGGTGTCTCAAGCCCATTAAAAATTGGGCTTTAATTTCCTTAGGGCCTTATATAAACGGGCCTCATGATCATACACAAGCCAAGAGTCATTCAAAATGGCCGAAATCACCTAAAGAACGACGCCGTATTACTCTGCCCACCGACCCTTTCTTGTTTACAAAGTTTTCCTCCTAATCTCTCCTCTTTGAAATACCCTTAGCTGCTGACATGTATTAAAGAAACTGAAAGGAGACGCAGAAAAACCAAGCAAAGAAAAAGGGAGGAAAAAGCAAATATGGAAGAGCAGTTGAAGACTATCACTCAGGAAATCGGGGAACCCAAATTCGATACGCTCCGATTCGGACTCCAAAGCGTCAAAGGAGAAATCGTTGGATCGCATCCCCTTGAATCTGCTTATCATACTGTACTATTCCTCTCTATCCTTGTTCAATTACCAATTGTTTTGTGTATTATTGCTTTTTAAGTATTTTATTTTCATCGAGCTTTTTATATATGGATTGGATGCCATTTTTTTTTTTTTTTTTGTGTATTTCAATGACATTAGACGCACGTGAGGCAGCAGCAGATGAAGAGGCAGATTCTGGCCAGAGCTTACGGGTCGGCTTTCCCTTTGAAGATGGAATTCGATCGAGAAATCCTCTCCAAGTTTGTGTTTTTCTCATCTCTTTTTTGCTTTTTTTTGGCTGAAAGTTACAGTCTTGTTATATAGTGGCTGTGATTAATGGGTTTTATTGATGATTTAGGGCTTCTTTACAATTTAGGTTTTTCCCTTTTCTTTCAGTATTATTTGTGTCATTTATGCTCGTTAATAAGTTGCTAGCTTGACGGTGTTTTTCTTTGCTTTATACCTTAAAATTCGAATAGAAATTGGGGCGATGAACTTTATGATATCTAATGTTTGAATTGGATCTGGTCTTAGTGAGTAGCGTGTCTCAATCTATACGGTTCTATTGTGTGGCAGTATGAATTTAAACTGTTGAAGGTTACAAAAATTTAGAAAGGAGGGTTTTTGGAGGGAATAAGGAATTAATGTTGATGGTTTGTGCAGGAACGAGATCATTAATCCTGGATCCTTTTGACATAAACAAACCAATTGAGGGGGTTTTTTTTTTTTGGGTCCCCTGTTCAGCTTCCTCTTATTGCTTTTCTTTATGCCATAATGTTCCTTTTTGCCATGCTACTTAACTGCACACATGAAATGTCTAGAGTTGGAAAAAGTGACTTTTCTAACGTTGGTTCTATCTCAGGCTGTGAAATTGCATCTTCAATTGTTTCTTGCAACATCTACATTCTTCTTGTTGATGGCTCACTTTAACTATTCAGCTCTTACCATCTTGTGCCCGTGCTTATTGAATATTAGTGGGAGAAGCACACTATGTCTGTGCATATTTTAACCAAAATTAATAGATGATTTTGAAGAAAGATCTTCAAGTTATTGGTAGTCATGACTTTGGAAATAATTTGAAAAATATGAGTGTTGCTGTGATAGTTTCATAGTGGTTTAGTGGTTCACCATATGGGGGTAGAATATGCAAAACATAATGTGACAGCTTCTTTTAACATCAGGCTGGTGCTTTATATATATTAGTCTCAATATGAAAGTAATAGTTTATCTATTTCTATCTTGCGTGTATGATGTATATTTGAGGTGATTGATGTTCGAGAGATTTTCTCTTAACTGTTTTTGGGGCACTATAAGTTGCGTGTGTTGTATGATTCTTTTGTATCAACTTCAGCAACTTGGATAGTCTTCCAAAGCCTTCTCGTGTTATGTATTCTTTATTCTGTGGAAACGATGAAACATACAAGAAAACAACAGAGTTCAAAGGAAGCATCCTTGTATTTTTATATATATGATTAGACCATTTTAATGGGAACTTTGAAGCTCATTTTGTCTTTTCATAATCTCTGTTCAGGAGATTTCAAAGACCAGCTGGTGCGATTCCATCATCATATTTGGGGTTAGAGGCTATGACTGGGGCTTTGGAAGATTTTGGCTTCGAGGATTATCTCAATGGTAACGAACAGCAACTGGATTAGTTTTTTTTTTTAACTCTTTAGACAAGTTTGTTCTAAAATATTTGTGGATCTTTCTTGTTATTTTTCCCCTTCCAAACTCCAAAAACAAAGTTGGATGTTATAACTGAAAATTTTGACTTGATTTCCAACGGGTTCATTGGGATTTCAGTGTGAAATATTTCAAAGTTGTGTGGAATGATTAGTATGAGATTGTGATTGTGGCTTCTTATTGGTTCATATTGCTTACTAGTCACCCTAATGTTCGTGGCAGATCCAAGGGATTCTGAAAGTTTCACTCCGGCTGACATGCATCATGGAATGGAAGTGCGTCTTGGAATTTCCAAGGGACCAGTCTGCCGCAGTTTCACATGAAACAGTTAGCTGGAATTATTGGAAGACGATTGTTGATTTCTGTACTACTATTATTCATGTAGTGAAGCTGCTGCTTTCTTTTCATGTCATGGCTTGCTTGTACGCTAGTCCGTGGAATTTTTAACATATTCGACGTTGCAATGATGAACAATTCGGTCCTAAGTTATGGCTTTCCTTATTGCTGAGGTCTCTCTGGGTCATGGTAATCTCCCAGACCTAGTTTGGATGGTGATTGGAAAAAAAAAAAAAAAAAAATCAGTACCAGCATTGGATTGGATTGGACACTTGCAGCAGCCTTGTTCGCGAGTCTCTCAACTCAAAGTCAGAAAAAGAAAAAGAAACCATGTTCTCTTTTCCCCTCGCAAACGCAAATGCGACGAGAAAGTGATAGGAAGTCTTTTAAAATTTGCAATCCGACCCACTCTGCAACTGCTAGAATCTCAAAAGCGATCATCAATCGTAAATATTGACTGTTGTCTCTTTTCTTCTTCATTTTTTTTATGTCCGGATGCGCCTCTGTGTGCTTGCTTACCAAACATCTGAACTTAAAAAATTTTGGATTCATATTTTCCTTCGCCTTTTAAATTCCACCGTTCTCCTGTTAAATTTTAAGAAGTAAATTACAAAAACTCTCAAACCAGGCGTTGTTCAAGTCATGAATAAGTGAATCACTCATCACCATTGAATTTTTTTTTTTAATTTACAGTTCACTTTTCTTCCTCCCAAGTCCCAATTCCTAACTTTGAGTAATCAACTGCTACTTGTCATCCTGATCCAAAAAAGCATAGCAATCTCCTCTAAATGTTCCTTCCACCTGAAAAGCCACTCTGCCACTTCCTCCACCTCCACTGACCTAAACCTTAGATGTCCAGCTCCTACGCAGTAATAGCAAAACCCTAAACCGCAGAGATGGAAACTCGCCGAGTCCCGCGGGCCGTGAGCGACCCCAAGGTCAGACAAGTCGGGTTTTTCGCGCCCGGGGCACCACCCGACCGGTCCCAATCTGGTCCACCCCATCCGGCCTCCTCCTCCCCTCCTGTCTCTGAAATCTCCCCCTCCGGCAACTCTCTGTCCCCGGTGATGATTCCTCCGCCGCGTCACCTTTCCGCCGACCTTGCTCGCGGGCCCCATTTCTCTCCTGCTGCCCCGCTCTCCCCTATGCGGGCCGCCCGCGACTCTATCCCCGTCGGCAGCTACAATCCCTCCGAGTTTGTCGCTCCCACGGCCTCAGAGTTCACTGACGATGCTCTCTCCCCTAATTGGACTGCTCGCCGGAGCAATTCTGGTAAATTTGCTTCCTCCCTGCCAGCTGGTGGATTTGATATGTCATCCCTTAAGCAGAATAATTTCCCGGCTAGTAGTTTAACCACCGTCTCCATTGTCAACATGCCCCCTGGCATAACAGGTAAATTATCTCCTCTATCCTTGCAAATATTTTCTCATCTTCTCCTCCCATTGATATACTGGATTTCACCATTATTCTTCAAGCTTCGGCACGGTTTTTGGGCATCTATGGCCTTGCCTTATCTTTTTCCGTGGGTGGTTGATGCTATAATTTTTTTTTGGACGAAATATAGAAAAAGATGGCGGAGCTGGTGTTGAAGTGCAGAAGGAGCGATCGAAGACGGGATCCAAGGCCAGTTTGAAGCCACTGAAAGAGCAGACCACAAAAGCAGAAAGGCGTGCAATTCAAGAAGCTCAACGAGCAGCAAAGGCTGCAACTAAAGGTCATATCAAGTTCCAGTTTGATTTTTTTCTTCCGAGTCCTGTCAAAGGTTTCCGTGTACACGAGTGAATGCATTTCGATAGTCCCATATTTAGTAATTCCCGAACTCTTTCTTCTATATCGAGGATCGTAGAGTGCTTTTTCGATCTCTTAACTTTCTTTGGAAAGTACATTTTCTAATGCAGTTTCCTGGTTAATTCAAAGAGTGTGCCTTTACTAAGCTAATGATACTGAGCTTCTTTTTTTTTTCCAAGCTAAAAAGAGCTTCTTTTTTTTTTTTCCAAGCTAAATAGAACCTTGACTGTTGTTTCGGGAAGTAGCTTCCCCTCCACCTGAGAACTTTAATGAATTCTGTTGTTGTACTCTGATAGAATTCTTATTGACACCAGTGATGAGACATTTATTCATTAATTAGTGACTCAAGTACTCAATAGCTGTCATTGTGTGCTTAATTTTTCGAGGTGATCTTATAAACTGTCATTAGTATCAGCTTTATATTGTCCAAACCAATATCACTGCTCATCATAGCATAGTATTTTTGGGCCATTGTTGTGTTCAAGTATAATAAAATCATCCTTTTCTTGGTATATACATTGCCTTTGTGCTCCGTGAAGGCAATTGCATAATTTTTTTTTTTTGGTAATTATTGGGCAGGTGATGGTAGTAAGACACCAGCTGCTTCATCTGGTTTGGGTTCTTCAGCAAATGCAAACCCAGGGAAGGCTGCAAAGGCTTCTCCACAGAAGAAGGATAACTCTCCTGTTGCAGCTTCTGAAAAAAGAGGCAGTGATCGTCCACAAGACAAAGACAGGAAGAAGGATGTCCCTCACCCCCGTATGCAGTTTGATGATAAGAGCCGAGTTGAGAAGGCAAAGAAACGATCTGTTGTTAAGCAGACCGAAGCAAAGAACAGGGTTGAACTGTTTAGGCATTTACCTCAGTATGAACATGGAACAAGGCTCCCTGAACTTGAATCGAAGCTGTTTCAACTAGATCCTGTTCATCCTGCTGTTTATAAGGTGAGGCTAAAGAACTTATCTTTTGTGGATACTAATACCATGAAGTTTATTTTTTTTTTTTTTTTTTTGGGGGGGGGGGGTGGGGTGTGGAAATATTTATGTTTGAAAGTTTTTGGCTAAATATTCACATTTTAATCTGATGTGGTCCATTAGAGAGGCAGCAACTGTTATCAACTCTGATGTGTAATACAATTTTCAAATTTTCTTTTTCCTATTTTCGTTGGGATCTTGACCTGACACTAGTTGTGATTTATGTACCTATAATCAGGTTGGTCTGAGGTATCTAGCTGGTGATATATCTGGTGGCAATGCGCGCTGTATTGCTATGCTTCAAGCATTTCAAGAGTCAATTAAAGACTACTCAACACCGCCTGAAAAAGCTCTTATTAGGGACTTGACTTCGAAAATAAATTCTTATGTATCTTTTCTGATTGAGTGCAGACCCCTTTCAATCAGTATGGGCAATGCTATTAGATTTCTTAAATCAAAAATTGCCAAATTATCTTTGGCCTTGTCTGAATCAGAGGCAAAAGCAATTCTTTTGTCAGATATTGATCGATTTATCAATGAGAAGATAATTCTAGCTGATAAGGTAATAGTCAGACATGCTGTAACAAAGATTAGGGATGGCGATGTTCTTCTCACATATGGATCATCCTCTGCTGTTGAGTTGTTGTTGATACACGCCCATGAGCTTGGCAAAAATTTCCGTGTTGTGGTAGTCGATTCACGTCCAAAGCTTGAAGGGAAGCTGTTACTTCGCAGATTGGTAGGAAAGGGTATTAGCTGTACATACACTCACATAAATGCTGTTTCTTATATAATGCATGAAGTTACTCGAGTATTTTTGGGTGCTTCCTCAGTATTGTCTAATGGAACGGTTTACTCGAGGGTTGGCACTGCTTGTGTTGCAATGGTTGCTCACCAGTTCCGAGTTCCAGTACTTATATGTTGTGAAGCCTATAAGTTTCATGAAAGGGTGCAGCTCGATTCAATTTGCTCTAATGAACTTGGTATGCATTTACTTTTGCAAATCATATGGAATCCGTTTAAAATGTAATATGGCTGTGTGTCATCATTTTTCTTACTATTCAGCTGCCCTTATAACACTGCAGGTGATCCAGACATGATTGCAAAGGTTCCTGGTAGGAAAGAAATTGACTCTTTGGATGATTGGGCCAATAGTGATAATTTGCAGCTTTTGAACCTCATGTAAGTGAGGGTTCTTTTTTTTGGGGGGGGTGGGGTGGGGTGCGTGTGTGTGTGGTTATCGCATGGATTTCGGGTACCATATCCATAACCTATGTATGCTCATTGTTTAATTTTATTGTAACAGTTATGATGCAACACCATCAGATTATGTTTCGATGATCATCACAGATTATGGTATGGTAAGTGTTAGTAAGTTTTATAATAGATTTACTAGAAAGAAAAGAGTACTTGTTATCTTCCCTGATTGCTTATAATATGACTGGGGTACATGCTTGCAATAACTCAATTGAGAACCATGTGCTGCACCACAATGTTTGTGTATGCAGTCAAGGAAGTCTACTCTGGCCCCGTTTCCTTTATTATCTTGTCCTGTGTCCTTACGTGGGCATATCCTGGTGTTTTTTCCTTGATGCCCCCCTTCCCTCCGCTCTCTATATCCTCATCTTAGTGGCATTGTGCATGTTTGCACCAAATGGCGTTTTGCCTTAATTTGCTAACCGTAATCTTTAAACATTTCCAGATACCTCCCACTAGCGTACCTGTCATTGTTCGAGAATACCGCAGAGAACATCTATGGACATAGCGGAATATAACACCTACTATACATTTATTTGAAGCTTCAGTGGTGGTTCTTGAGGATGACAGAGAGATATTGACAATCTTCAGCAACTTCAAATTAGTTTCTCCTTGATTTCTTTTTTGGAATAATGAGTTGTCTTTTCCATGTACGTTATGTTTTTGGTTTGATTCTATTTTCACCTGACTCTGTGAAGAGTGCGTTTCGTCCGCCTCTCCGAGCAGTTTTAGGAAAATATGTACGTTGTTATGAGCTTTCTAGCCCTCTTAAGGAAATTTGCAATTTTTGCTCTCCATAAAGTCGTTAGTTTAACATTCTATCCGCCGCTAGACTATTTCCGGGGCACCTCACTTTTTTGTAGATTTGAGATACGTCGCTGAGTTTAACCACGGAAAGACTGCAACATCCTGCCTATTTTTGGTGTTTTAAAATGTACGAGAGTTTTTTTTGAAAAAATAAAAAAATCGCCGGAGCATACTTACAAAGTTTCATCAAGCACAAAAAGGAGTGGACGATTTAATATATTGTTCCGATGAAAAAAATACACTACATTTTTCGATCTATCTTGAATTTGGAACTATCAAAAAATTAGTAATATCATCAAAAAAATAAAGAGGATGCTGCAGCTATTTTTCAATAATATATCAATTTTGAACCATGCAATTGCCCTGTCAAAAAAGTCAAATCCCATGACAAGTTTGGTACCTCTTTAAGGCAAAAAATGGACGCTGGAAACCGTAGAAGTAGAGGCAAGGAAACCAGGTGCACTTGTGTCGAAGGTCATGCATGAAGGTACACCTGCCTGATACGGGCAAAGAAAGGGTGCGGAATGCGGAGGCGTGAAGCTTGCTGGAATCTCAGTGCAGTGAGTACATGGCTTGGCAGAACTCAATCCTGTATTTAATACCATCGGCTTGGCAGCCGATGAAATGTTTATTGCAATATCAACCCTGAAAACTTTCTATTCTTTACAAATTCACCCCAAAGGCATGAAGCAGGTTAAACCTCAAAAGGTTTCAAAAGCATTCCAGTCAATGCTTACTCCACTGTGCTTTTTGTAACATCACTTTTACCGTTAGCAGGTGAGATGACAGCAAGAATTACAAAACCACCCAAAGCAACAATCAAGATCCCTAAAGAGTTTACCAACAATGCCTCTTTGGAGTAGCGTGACATGATCTGGTTGGTTTGAAGAAATGTAGCCTTCTCTAGAATACCAGTAGTGCAAGTGGCAATAGCAAGCGCATATATATAGACGCCAAAGAACACGTGCCATGGCAGCAGACTAGCTCTGCTGTTCCTTGAACCACCTGGATACCAAAACGTTACAAATCCAGCAGCCCACTGCACTACAGAACGTAATAATTTAATATGCGGTCATGAAATACTAATCCATCAACAATCATGGTGCAAATTTTAGGAGAACATAAAGGAGGAAACAGATGTGGACTTGGGTTGGGGGGTGAGAGGGTGGGTGAATGGGAAGGCAAAACAAAAAGCTCCTAGAAGCACCTGAATGGCAAACAAGAAAAGGCAAGCTAAACCCAGCCACGAGTGAAGACTGTAGAAGTTGTCGATTCCTTTGTCATTGTGAAACTTCCATGCAGCCCATAAGCCAATTACACTAAAAGAGAGGGCCAAGAATTGCAGGAGGAGGTGAACTAATTTTTTGAAGCTTTTTGTTCCGGGGACTGTCTTGTATGCCAGCATAGCTGCAAGAATTGACAAAGTAATTAAAAACCACATTTCTGACAACATCAGCTACGTAGACTACATTAAGAAGTATTACAAGCCAACACATTTGAAAAAGCGATATCCATCACCAGATTAACAGACAAGCCTCGAGAATATTCATGACAACTGACATAAATATAGATATCTGACAAACTGGGAATAGTTCTTATAAAGTTCTTAGCAGTTTCTTTAATAACTTGATGATATAGCTGCGTGTAAATTTCTGAAACTTCTGAGAAAAACTATTACTTATCACGGAAAAGATTGCCTTAATGGTTCAGGAAGTTAGTTATCCATATGAAAAACACAAACATTAAAACTAGAAAAACAGAATTTGATGCAGATTGACAGAGATTAGCAAAAGACATGGTATGGGTGTCCAAATTAGGCTTTTGATGATGTACATTGCGTACCAAGCCTGTTCTACGACACCTATTTGGGGTTCATAACTTAACTCCCAAAAATGACCCATTGGGAAATGACAATGCAAGTCATCCAGGTGCCAACTTGTAGCCCGGATATCACCACAGATACAGCACATTCCTTATCAGGCCTCGACTACAAATGCTATCTGGACTTCATCTTTTAGCTGGGAGACTGTAATATCGGTGAATGACTCAACAAACTTAAGAAATAGAAATGCAAATCAACCAGCCGTAAGTCTAGGCATTAGGCAGCCTCCAACATTGCAACAAATTAGACGTGTTCAGGATTAATGTGATTACCAGTTACCAAATTTTTCTTAGATTGAAGATTCAATAAAATTAAACATTAGCCTTTCGATTTAAGGTGTTGATCTGACAGCTAATAGGCCTCCACAAATGATGAAAACTAAACCTCAAGAAACCAATTACTTACGAAGATATCAGAAAGCAATACAGATGCGTGCTCCTGAATACATGATGAATGAAATGAATCAATAATGAACAAATCAGGATAGGATTAATATGGGAGAGGTCGATTACTCCTTAGTTCAGTACTCAAACGAAGATTCTCACCTTCACCATTTAGAAGTACCAGGCCAATCACCATCAAAACTGGATGAACCTGAACAAAACATGAAAAACCAAAATTCAATAAACAATCCGGAACAATCCATAGAGGACAAAACTCAATGCTAAAACCCCTCAAAGCCCAAAAGAAACAATAAAAGGATCCACCGGTGCTTGATTCATAGAATGCAGGTGGCAAATAAGTCGATAATTGGAAGAAAGAAATAATTGAAATTTTCGGGAATTCCCCATAAAAGGAAAAGGAAAAGGAAAAAACAATAGATAGAAGTGGAATAGTAATTACATTAAAGATGAGGTCTTTATTGGTGGAGACGAGGGCCAATCCTCCTCTGTAATGAACCGTCCACGTTAGCACTGTTACTGTCACTGCTATCCCCAGTATCCTCACCACTCCGTATATCGGAAATCTCACAACCGGTACCGCCATTTTCCCGTATTAAACTAAAGAGTTGAATATGAATTTTCTGTTGCCTATTGCAGATTTTTACAGAGACTAGGGTTTTCACAAAAAAAAAAAGCAAAAAAGCTCTGAGAATTAGTAGGACAACAAATTTTTCACGAGAACTGATCTTCTATTGAAGAAAAGAATATACAGGATGTGGTCACCACGTCTCTCTCTGGATTTCCAAGAGTCTTTTGTTCTTCATAGTAGCAACGAGGAAGCATCAGTTTTAGACTTTCATGTGCCACGCTGGACTCCAAAAAAAGTCCACTCTACCTTACGTCTCTTGTCGTAAGCTCTTAACCCTGCTCAACGTCGGCTGAGTTTAATCCTATGCGTTGTCGGTCGTCTGGGCCATTGCACATGGACATGCATATCGGGCTTTCGTGAAGTCAGCCCAATGACATCCCAACCCCACGCCACAGTGGATTGTGCATGTAATCCTTTACCTATGAAATCAGCCCATTTGGAGTGTTACCCTTTTAGAAAAGTGATATATATATATACATATATATATGTATATATTATGTATTTGGGGTCAATCAGCAACTCCTACTCCTAATTTATCCTATACTAAAAAGGGCCTAATTGGATCAAAAAGGGCTGAAGGGAGAGAATCCTATTTAGACCGAACGGGTGATGCATATCCTTTGTATTTCACTTGTACTTTATATTTCACCTAGTGAGCAACTCGGAGTTGGTTAGAGAAGTAACATTATTAGGGGCAATTAATTAGTGGTTTGTATATTCAATGGACAATCCCTTAGGGTGCTCAATTGTTAGTTTTTAGGGCAAAAAGTCTCGCTAACCCTTAAACTTTTAGTTGCATAAAGTTTTAACCCTCCAATAATTATTATGAAACTTTTGATTCTCAATATATCAAAAGTGAAAATCGTTGATCCTTCTGTTGATTTGAACAGTCATGTTTGACGGAAACACCATCAAATGCGACATGACAACATAAAATCAAGGGCCAATGAGAGACATTTTGTCTTGACGCTCTCTCACTCACTCTTCTTTTCATATTTTTTTCTTCCTCTGTTTTCTAAAATTTTTGTTATCTTTTATCTTTTTTTTTTGTCTTTCTCTTTTTGTAAAACCCTTAACTCGTTGTTGTGCTTAAAGGCTACACCTTCTGCAATTTTATCTAGATTTTTTTTTCTTTTCAAGGATAAGATCTTTTAATTTAGATGTTTCTGGAAGAATTCTTTAGTTCTTGATTTAAGGGAATGAATTATCTGTGGTATCATTAAAACATTACAGGATGGTTTTGGTACATATTGCTTTGTTGGAGATATTTCAAGGGTTTCCTCTATCTAGGATGCCATAACGAAGTTGATGATGTTTGCTTTTTTTTTTTTTGTTAAAAAAAAGGGTAGATTCAACTCCGGTCACTGACTCGGCCTCTAGGACCATAAGTCACTTATAGAGGTACTTATAGATCGTCCATCAACACAGTTCTCACATCAGCAGCGGAATTCGAACACATGATATTTTATAAAGAAGTAACTTATTCTTGCCAACTGAACCAACTTGTGTTGGTTGATAATGTTCACTGCTCCTCTTTGGATTGCGGTTTTGGTTAAGGCTTGGGTGGGCTGGACATGGAAGCCCATGTGGGCTAATTTAAACAGCAGCTTTCTGGTTTTTGCAAAAATTTCCTCCAACTCCTCTATTTGTTAGGTTTCATTTCGAGATTCAACTCAGAAAGAGAGTTGGAAAAGAGAGATAGAGAGAGAGATATATTATATTGTTCTTGATTTTCCTCGTCCATCGCACTTGATAGTGTTTTCGTCAAAGATAACAGTTGAAATTTGAGGGATCAATGGTTTGCACATTTGATAGATCATAGGTCAAAAATTTCATAATTATTGTTCAAGAGCTAAAACTTTACGCACTAAAAGTTCAAGGGTCATCAAGACTTCTTAGCCTCGTTTTTATGATGTGGTGCATATTGCACTTGGTTATATATCTAATTAAGAGTTTAATAAAATGATATTGTATTGGAGATCATTAAGAGGAATCTCATCTCATGTGTTAATTTTTTTTTTGATAAAAATAAACTTAATTTGATTAAAAGGAGGCCTCGATCTATTTAAGTTGGAGTTAA